CCCCCTCCCCCGAATTCTGATCTCTTTTAGCAGATCTCTTTAAAAAATAGAAAAGTGAAATTTTAGGTTACAGAACTAGTGAAGTAGTATTGTGTCTGTACTCTGTAGTGCACTTTCCTTTTAAGTGCATTACCTTTTTTGGCAATCTCAAACATTAGAAATCTATAAACATAAACCAACAAGGTTATGATAAACACTTATGCTATTATGGAAGGGGGGGGGGACAGAAAAGCATGTAAAAAAATCATCTTGAATAGTACTATCTATAAAATTTCAGGAAATACTATCAGTCTTTATATTTTTAATTTTCCGAAGAACATATTTACTTTCTAGCACGGTGGTAGGCGATTATATCAATATAATGAAGACGACTTTTTCATTCAAGTTTTAATTCTTAACGAGCTTTTTTCGAATTTCAAGTTTACAAGTAATTAAACAGAAGCTTTTTAATTGACAGTTTCTCTTGTTTCCATGTATTTGTGTATCCATGCTGTTTAAAAGCTTGATATAAGTCAAATTAAAATAGAAAAAAAATAGAAAGTCGTCTTTCTTATATTGATATAATCACCTGTATCTAAAACAATAAATCTAGGATAATTTGGCGGATTTACTTGTTGTCATGCTAATTTTGTTTTAATTACTTTCGAATCTTGATCGGGTACAAACCACCTCTGGAACTCTAGTTTTTTCCTTAATCTAGTGATATATCGTATATCGTATATCGAATATCGTATATTGTATATCCTATATCGTATATCGTATATCGTATATCCTATATCGTATATCGTATATCGTATATCATACATCGTATATATGTAGATTGTAGATTTAAGAAAGGCCACAAAAATATCTCATAGTGATTTAACGTTTTGAAGCTCTACGCAAAAAATCGTGGCGAATTTTGACAATAATTCTTAACCCTTAAAGCTAAAATTCAGTGCTTAATGTTGCGTCTAGCGCGGCGCTCCAAACATACTAATGAGTTGTGAGATAAAATGAAAGGCCATGGCCTTAGGACGCTTTTAAGTCAGCCCAGTCTTGAAAATTGATAAAACTTTTCCAAGCCGTTTGTATCCATGTGATGATATGATCTAGTTTGTATCCATGTGAATATATATATATCCAT